TCAATATTGTGAATTTCTTTCTTCGTTCAACGATAATGTTATTAAACTTATCAGACGTTACGAAAAAAAAACATAAAATAAATAGACAACACTATCTATATTATTTAATGAAACGTAGGAATGGAAAGATGCTGCCTAAATACACACAATATATATATATATATATATATATATATATATATATATATATATATATACAGATACACACACACACACATATATATATATATATATATATATATATATATATATGAAGAAATATAGTCTTAAGGTGTGGTATATTTATGGGATAAAGTGCTCGATACCAGAGATACAGCGTGTGTAAATATAAAAGTGAACATAGAAGTCAACACTTAGAGGTGATAGGCTGTTTCATGCAAGATGCAATCGTCCTGAAGATTGCATCTAGCATGAAACAGACTGTCGCCTCAAGTGTTGACTTCAATGTCTCACTATATATATATATATATATATATATATATATATATATATATATATAGATAGATAGATACACCTAGTGAGCCAGACAAACCTACCTAGGTTTCACCTAAACGGATCGTCAGGGAAAGTTTGGCTAACGAGGCAAAGAGAAACACACATATTTATAGGTGATAGCTAAAAATCATACCACGTGACAAAATAAAAACAAAAAAACAACCTAAATTGGGAATTTATTCAACAAAAAAAAAAAAAAAAACCTCAGTGGAAAGTCAATAACTGCTCTACGGTTGTATTGAGCTCTTTTGTTAGTTAGTTGTTTACTCGTATCGGTTTTTTTCTTTGGGCTTCAGACCTGCATCTGTGCGATTTTTTTGTCGGCAGAAGTTCATGTTTGTAGCTCTTTCTTTTTTTAAAACCTTTTTTTTTCCCTCGAGATTGATTTGATTAGCAAATCAAAAATTCGAGGGTTTTTCGAAACGAGTCTAGTTTTATATATATATATATATATATATATATATATATATATATATGCCAGTCGCAAGATAAGAAAGCGGAATTTAAAAATAGATCTATAATTATATTTATGAAGCGTTATATTGGACATTATGCATTTTGACTATTTTATTATGATTGCGCGTATTCAGTATATTTTAGCAGCAGTTTGTACTTGTAAAAATCCCTTACTAAAAGAATATACTTTTTATGTCTATTATATTTATTGATCGTTTATCTAATAAGTGATTAAATTTCCGCTGTTGCAGATTAAAAAATAGCCAAAGTTCGTATTACATCAAAGCTTTCCGACTTTTAAATCTACAACTGACTTTTTCTTCTTCTAAATGGGCGATTATGTTTGTCATAAACTTTCCATCCCTTTGCAGGCTTTCTAATTATTCTAAGGCTCCCAACACCCAACCTCTAATATCAATAAATATAATAGACATTAAATTTCTATTCTTCCTAATTACACACAGGCACACACATATATTTATATACATATATAATTACTTACACACGTACATATACTTTAACTGTTAAAGAAGAAGTGAATCCTTGAAAATGGCGAAAGGGCTTCGAAAAAAATTTTTAAAATTATTAGATCACATGTGAAATTGTATAAAAAAATAAATTAAAGTAATCAAAGTACTGCTTGAAAGCACACACACATACAGCCAACACACACACACATATGAGTATCATATTATGAGTAATCAAATACCAAAATAGAAAGAAACTTTTTCGTAACACGTTTCGACCATAGAAGGAACCTCTTCAGACTAAAAATAGTTTTTATCGATGAAGTCAATCTTATAGACTTCTGAGTAAACTACGGCCGACCTGACGATTTTATGCGACACGCAAGAACAAACAATATCTTTAGATATCTCTCTATCTATCTATCTATCTATCTATCTATCTATCTATCTATCTATCTCTCTCTCTCTCTCTCTATATATATATATATATATATATATATATATATATATATGCATATTTCTAAATGATTGATGCAATTATTTTTAATTTGACAGTTTATTATTTCAAACATTATTATTTTGGACACTCGTATTTGAAATAGACGCCCCATTTCTATTTTATTTAAAACAGTGTATACTACATCTATCGGTCTGTGCATTTGAGAAATCTTAATAAGGAATTGAACGTGCATCCTCCTTTGTAGGAGAAACCACCATTTGATCTATTGTTTTGCTTTACCAAAAAGCTACAGAGAGTGTCAGAGTTTAGCATGGCTTTATGGTCTCTTTTTAGGGAAAACATGCTTTCTAATTCATATTATTGTTCTCGAAAGCCTGGTTTCATATCCGAAACGTCAATAGAGCAATTTCTAAAGAATTATTGGATTTATTTTTAATCTGATATTTTTATTGCTTCGAACATAATTATAGTGGATACTCGTATTTGAAATAGACGCCCCATTTTTTAAACACTTTCAAACAGTGTGTATTAAACACACACACATACGAGTTTATTTTCATTTTCAGAATTTCGGAATATATATATATATGTGTGTGTGTATATATATATATATATATATATATATATATATATATATATATATATATAATACAAATATATAATTGGTATATACGGAATGAATTCCAATAACCAACAATTACTATTCTTAAAAAGAGTACTCAATACAAAGTAGAGCAGATATAATTATTTTTTATAAAAAATTATAACATAAGTATGTTATAAAATCACTAAAAAATAGCCATTTTGTTTCAACACACTCTGTGTCTTATCAAGTGAAACAAAATGGCTATTTTTTGTAGTGATTTTATAAATATATTATTTTTAATTTTTTTTATATAAATATATATATATATATATATATATATATATATATATATATATATGTTTATCTATAATCATATTTGCTTTAATTTTTTCAGAAATGCCATGCCACATGCTCCCGATTCTGGAGATTGATACAGAGACCCAGGTCCCCCAGAGCATGGCTATTTCCAGATATTTGGCCAGAGAATTCGGTAAGTTATCTTCGTTTCCAGAAAAGTCAAATGTTAATTAACACGTTAATGCTCTCGATTAATTTAGGTATTAATTATAAAATTTTAAATAGAAATCGTGTATTAATTGTAAGTTTCTGAAATAATCCTGTATTAAATATAGGTTTATTAAACAGAACCCGGTATTAATTATAGGCTTATCAAAATATCCTCAATGATAGTTTTTGTATTACGTTTTTGAAATAAGGAATTATTAATACATTTTAATTTATTCGAACGATTATTCTTAACACGTAACGTTAAACTGAAGAAAAAAATCAAATGTAAAAAGCTAAAGAACGCTAAATTCAATTCTACTTTTGAAACTGCGGTATTAAAAAATTAAAAATATTTCCATTTTAAGCTAAAATTTGATTATTTGAATATATTTGATAAAAGAAGACAAAACCTTGTCATTAACACATTTCAAATCATCGTCAAACCATATAATAATTATCAATGTGTATTTATTTATATATGTTTTGTCCCATCTATAGTGGTAAGGGAGGTAAATCAACTTAAGCTAGTACATTTTGAGTGATAACTTCCCTTAGTTGTTTTAATAACATATCAAACTAAAATTAAAATTAAATTTAAAAACAATTGGTTCCCGAGCAAAACGAACCGTTTTATTTATCAGGTCCTACGTTTGTTAGGTTGCAGTATTATTTGTTAAAGCCTTTCATGTGAGGCACACAGATACATTTGTCTATTAAGTGATCGTCTTGCTTCAACATGATCTGGAAGTAGACTTTATCGTTGCCGTCTTTGTCGTTCTGCTGCTCATCTTTTTCTTCCATTACATTTCTAATTCACTGTTATATGAAACATAATTTAAACATTAAACAAAAAGGGATCTCTATATAATGCCAAAAAGAATCAATGAATTATAGATATCATTGACCGTCTAAAAAATATATATAAAGGGAACGGATTAATTAAACGGTTCATTGTCTGTATTTTAGTTGTGAATTCTTTATCAGTGCTGTCTTGAGTATGAGTACATTGTTTCAAATTCCGCTTCATTGCATGACTATTAACATAATTAGAGTAAAATTACCAGTAATTCATTTTATCTGTAATTGAAGGCATGCATTTGCGTTCAAAATATATTTAGTTGAAGGCATAAAATGGTGTCCAAAATATTTAGATTTCGGCATTAAGTTACCCATAGGAGTTACTAGGACACTAAACAAAATCAACCAATCAACAATACCTATCCATAGCAAATTTACCAACAATACATATTTAAAGCAAAAGGACTATATTGTAGTTGAAGGCATAAAATTGTCTTAAAAATATTAGATTTCGGCATTAAATCACCAAAAGAGGTTGATATGGCGACCAACATGAAAGATCTCTTTCATGACATTAATATATATAATATCCTATAATTTCTGAAAGAAATCAAACAGTATTCCAAAATATAACTTCAATAAAACTACAACATAAAACACACATATGACCGCCTCTAGTAATCACGTCTACACAAACATGCAAATACAGAAAAGCTGAGTATCATCTACCATGTATTCCATTGTGAAAGCAGAATAAAGTGTATCATATTTTTATTACTTCAAAGCTCCCAAGAAAATTCAATTTCGGCATTTAATAACTGTTGAGACGTTGAGTGTTTCCCTGTGCGTGTATTGAAATAAGGACAAATACATACGTAGGGAAAAATACTGGTATATCTGAAGAGGTATTTACAACAGAGAGATTAGTAGACAAACGAACGCAGGTTAGTCAGTAACAATCCGAAAGAGTATTAAGTCCAACTGTATCTTCCGGTAGAGAGACGGAAGTGTGATGGTCACCTGATCTCCCTAGAACTCTATAGAACTGTCCTATTAGCAGTAGAGAGATCAGTCCATTCTGATCAGAAGGTGGGTGCGCCCCAACAATAACCCATAAAGTGTTGATATGCCGTTAAACAAATAAATCAAATCAATCTCCTCATTCGATTACATCGTTTGTTTTTGTATTTACAAACATAATTTAGGTTTCCATGGTAAGAACAGCCTAGATATGTTCAAGGTCGATGCCATTTGCGACAGCCTCTTTGAACTCTTCAACGACTACATGGCAATGTACAACGAGAAGGACGCTGCCAAAAAGGTGAGTTTATTATCTATCTATCTATCTATCTATCTATATATATATATATATATATATATATATATATATATATTATTTTTATAAAAAAACATTTATCAACATAAAAAAAAAAAAAAAAGCTTTTTTTTTTTTTGTTATAAAATCACTTTGTATTGAGCACTCTTTTAAGAATAGTAATTGTTGGTTATTGAATTCATTCAAAATATATACCATTTTATTTCAATATGTACACTATGTATATCTTATTATTTGGCATATTAAAAACTGACGATAAAAATAATGAAAGGTGTTGAATAAGCGAATGAATGAGAGGATATAGAAAGGGGAAAAAAAAAAAAAAATTTTTTTTTTGTGACTGGGACAAAGCAGCAAACGCTTTTTCAACCAACACCATTAGTTCATCTGAAATCCAATTTTGGGATTAGTTCATGATTCTTGATTTTATCTGGCACGTATTGTTTTATCCTCACTATCTAGTCACTGGGTAGTCCTTCATGTGAAGCTGACTCCGCATCCACAGTTATATTTATATACAACAGAATTAACTTGATGAGTGGGGAGAACATCCTTACGGATAGATGAGAGGATCGTCTTGGTTGCAATCCTATTGCGATCCATTTAACGATTTTATGTTGAGATGACCATATCATAGAGCGTACGGGTCTTAAAGGTAATCCCATCCTTATGGATTTTTAGAATGCCATAAAGACGGGGGTCGGATTGAGCCAGAAGGTCTAATTTCTTCAGATATTTCTGGGGAAAGAACCCCACTTTTTACCCACCTCAAAATTTGAAATTTTGTTTCAAGTGGTAGCATCACATTTGTCAACGGAACAAAGCTGCACAAATTTAGATGTATCATTCAAGATTAGAGAC